GACTCGCTTGTGGTACACGAGTCGACGTGAACTAGCTCGGCGCGTTTTCGGTCGGGCATAAAATATAATAAAACAATAAGGGGACAGAGTGGGTGGGAGGGTTCGCGTATGGGTTCGGTGGGAGCGATTTTTAACAAAAAATAAACGAAAATAATATTTTTAAAAAAATGTTGGCTTTTAATATCGTTTCAATACACACCTGCAGCACACTCGGTATATTGCGATCGGTAAGCGAGATTGAAAAAAATTAAAATAATATAAACGCGATGTTTAGTTTATCATATTATATTGTTACAAGAAAACGTACGTAATCGTGTTGTTTAAATAATACGAAAATATGGGCCATCGATCGGATGGCAATCATTATTATATACCTACCTACCTACGTCGTATGCCTAAGTAGCGAACTCGGGTTTCGGGCCTCGAACGCAATTATTGTAATAATCAATCGTGAAAAAAGCAGGACAGCTGATATTATTTTACATACATTATAATATTATTATTATTAGTAGTATTATGCTATCGGCGTGGTATAACATACCTAGCTTGTTAATATTATCATAATAAGATACGGGTGTTCTGATTTTGAAGCACAACACAAAAAATATTTGTAACTCTCCAGTCCTGCAGCAGTTGTAGTCAAACATAATGACAGTATTATATTATTATACGGCGTGTATTATTACTACACAGATAAGATTAAAGTTTTTCCAGAGAAAAAAATGGGAGTGCCTCTCCGATTGACTAGGCAAACAGTTAAATTCGATGCGCTACATAGTGTACAATATGATCGTCGTATGTACATTATATTATGATGAGTTGTGTGCTTAAACATGATTAGGTTAGGCAAGGTGCATAATATTATTTTTATCATGCTCTCCTTTCAAAAATCAAATTTTGATAGAACGAACATTTTTCCATACCTATCTAATGCCATATTGTTTTTGTTTTTTTATATTTAAGCGTTCTTTCAACGAAAAGGCTATTAAACTCGGTTATGAAACGACTAACGAGGATTGCCTTTATGATCTAATGGAATTAGTTACACTTATTTGCAGTTTAAAATGCAATCTAGTTATAATATATTATTGTTTGGTACAATATTTCGATTATCTATGGATTAACAAATATTGAAATTCAGTCACAGGTTGTGACCATCTAGTTACTAAAAGAACACATATCATTAAACAATTTAATCTTTAAAAGGGTAACGCAAAATGTTGATTTTCGGAATCAACTAGAAACTGTTTTCTAAATTCGAAATTACATGGCATATTATACGAAACACTAAGCCGTCGACTTAATACAATGGGCTATAAAAAAATGTTGTTCCTAGGGCTATGCTCGATCTTAATCCAGGACTGTCAGTGAGATTGATTAAGTAAAAATATGCAATTCACAAGACACGATTTTATAATATAACATGATATTTTACATCATTTTTAAGATTTAGAAAGATTTCTCCGTTATTATATTAGCCATCGGAATAGTTTATTCAATATCGTAACAATAGTTTTGCTTTGCGAGCGAATTTATAGAAAAAAACTAAAAAAATACGCAAATATACATCTCAAGTCTCAAGTCACGACTATGACGGTGGCGTTGTACTCTGCTGTTGCTAACTGTAGTTGTATACCTACCAGACTCTGTCGCGCGTTTATTGTGATAATAAAGAAAGGATCCGTCTAAAGAATATTATGATGTTCAACAATCGTTAATACAATAATATAATAAAATGATGATATATCTAAATACGTATGTATGTAGGTATACAATAACATAATAATAATATATGCGCGTATATTATAATGCTTCAGCAACGGCGGCCGGACGGCTTTTGAAATAATATTGTGTTCCACGTGCAAACGAGACGAATCTCGGTCATCCGATTGTTACAGAAAACCCGTTATGACATTGTCGTCGGTCCAAAGTGACTCGACTTAACATTCTACATCTTATTGTTGTCATCACACATGGTTAAGTTTGTCAATTATATTGAATAGAGTGATTTGATATTATTGTAATACGTCGTCACTCGTCGTTCAACGGTGACGTGACCGACGCGATGTACAATAAATGATTGATAAATGTGCACGAGCGTTGCATAATATTATTGTCATCTTAGTATCATATTTTGCAAAGAAAAAATAAATAGATTTAGCCGGCTTAAAAATTGTTAAAGTTTCTCAAAATCAAACAAATAGGCGTGGGCGTTCAAAGCTGCATCAAAAATTATAGTGTCACACCCGAAAAGTAGAGAATGTGGAGCCCCGTTAGTATAATTGTCAATACACGCAATAATTATATTTTATAACTCGTAATATTAAAATATTTTTATACTTCCTCGCGCTTTGGATGACGGTATCATAATAATATAATATAATAATCGTACCTATTATAGACAACTTTTAGTCGGTTTGCAGCTTGTAAGTCGACGACAAATAATATGCTCTTTGGTAGTTTGGTGCAGTAACTCCGTAATGTAAATATAATGCACAAGTGTATCTGAGATGTCACTGTTTAATTTATTTAGGTTCGAGAAGCACAGCTGTGTGTCGGTATATTTTGTGGAACTCCAAGTCTTAGCTAAAAAAAGCACTCGTTTGCTTATCCACCGAGGGTTTGACATTTTATTTCACATGCATTCAAATAGTTTGTTTCGATATTTGGGTATATTGTTTTTCAGGTGAAATTTAAAAGACAAACGATAATATATGTGAGTGTTATACCTTCATAAATCATAGATTTAAACCTTTCGTGTGGATATTCGTATCCAACCGAATACCAATTCTACACGTGTAATCGATGAGAAAATGAGGTAATGAATTTTGGACGATCGATCGTGTGTAGTAATTAGAGAGGTTTTTTCACTTAACAAACGCGCGTCCCTCCGCATACTTCGCATCATGCGATATACCCACATAGGTGCACGTAGCATATTGTAAGTTATATAAATATAGCTTCTATTTGTTACAATATATTTTAATAATAATGAACGACCGTCATATTGTTGTAGCTCTGCATTATATTAATATATAATATGGGTGATCATGTAATGTATATATGTATGTCGATGAGTGGAGTTTGTCAGAGCATTTGACGAGCACAAAAGAATAATACACTTGCGCGTGCGTACATCATGCGATATTGTACACCGCAATGGCAGCAGGCCGGGGTGAGGTAAAAAACGATAATCAAAATATTCTTTTCCTAAAAGAATAATACGATTAAAAAACACATTCGTCTCGACGGCGGCGGCGGTGCCCTATAATATTATAATACAACATAACGTGCGCATTCAAGTAAGAATATCTCACCTAATAATATAATAGTGATGGGTAAATTTGATATATTTTTTTAATTTTAATAATAAGGACACATAAATATTATTTATGTGGCATAATATTGTTATGGTTAATAAAATAATATAATATCCATAATATGATTATATCCAATATATTATGGTTTAATTTTAATTCCTATTTTCTGTAGTTTACCTACCTATTTTATTTGTTCGATGTCATAAATACGCGAAAAACGTAAAAAGGATAGCAATAATTCCTAAATACTCTGAGTTTTAATATATTATAGTAATACTGGCCAACTAAATGAATGATAAACATGTTTTGGGAATAAACTGATAGAGACACAGCTTTGAATATAAATCGATATAGTTATATTATGAAAACAGCAGACTTCCTGTATAAGTTTACATTGTTCTGTGAAATGATCGAAATATGATTTATATTTGTGTAGTATGACAAAATATTTAATAACAATATTGACGAGGACAATATTAAACAAAACTAGGTACGTGTTTAAGGGGACAAAAAATATTTCTCTGGTAAATACTCGAAAAGATATTGTCTTACCGACCAATCGATCGGGTTTTCACCTAGGTACGACTAAGTCAAGACTAGCACCAGACAGGCGAATTGTTACGATGATACTGCAACACGCCTACTTCGTTTACAATACGAACAATTGTTAAAAACTAAACCTCGTCCAATGTAGTAATTTTTTTAAATACCTAATGATAATTTATTGGCCATCCAGTTAATGAAATCACATACATGTAAATATGTAATAGCATCAATAAATACTATTCAAAACACAATATTATCATGTCATAATAATTCGTACAATATAACACAATATTACACTATTATTGTCATATCTAATACGCTTGTAAATACGCACGCTGCACGGCGGTGGTCGTTTGCGAATAATTCGTCGTCGATCTCAACCTGTTGCTATCTCGGGAGACCGCGCGCGCCCAGTCCGTCACCCTTTTTTGTCCGCGCGCACGCCAAGGTCGAGCGCGCTTCACACACGCACCGATCGTGTAGATTTGTGCGTCTGTGTTACGAGCACGCTTAACCAACACAATAATAGTAATAATAGTAATAGTAATAGTAATAATAATAATAATAATATAATTTTTTCGGGAGATAATAATATAATAATATAATATTGTAGCGCGCATCATCGTCGTGTCGCTTTCGGCCGCACGCGCGCGTTCACTTTTGGCCGCGTCCGCCGTGACGTTTAATTGCCATCGACCTTGCCCCGCACAGGCCATCATCACAATATCGGCGAGCGCGCGTGCGCGTGAGCGTGCGGCAAACCTTGGGGCGTAATAATAATAATACGTTGCGCACAATAAACCTACCTACGACGTCCGAAAGGGAGAGTCGTTCGTCTTTATTCGTCCGTCCGTCTGTTTGTCCGCGCTCTGCCGCTCTGGTGCGCAAACGAGCGTGGACTACGCAGCACGCGCGCTTCCCGTACAGACGCGTCGTCTGCCGGATAACGCAGCACTTCCGAGTGCTCGAGAATCGCCTTTTATTCCCGGACTTGCCGCGATTTCCTGTTAGCTTTGCACTTTTGTATTCGTCACGACGACGCCGATGATAAAATAATATTTCAACCGTTTGCCTCGATATTATGACCGATTACCTCCGACTAGCCGATTTATATTTTTCTCTTGTTTTCCACAGAGACGACCGGCCGACGCAGTGCACAGTGAGCAGTCGTACAATACGACGGCGCAGTAACCCCGCAGAATTATTATCATTATAGTTACGTTACCAATATGGCAGCATTCAAGGGCCGAACCGGGACAGCAGCCGATGACAAGGAGGCGGCAGACGCCATGCTGGCCACCACCGTGATAGGCGGCGTCACCACGGTCACCGACGACGACGACGACGACGATGATCGCGACTTGCAGTGCGGCATAGGGCCGTGCAGGTCCAAGTGGATGCAGGTGTTCGCGTCCAAGCAAGTGTTCCTGGCCACGTTCTGTTTCAGCTGGGTGCTGCAGGGCATGTTCTCCACGTACTTCGTTAGCGTGATCACCACGTTGGAGAAGCTGTTCCAGCTGCAGAGCAAGACCATGGGACTGGTGCTGAGTGCCACCGAAATCGGACAGATCGGATCGTCCTTGTTGCTCACATACTACGGCGGCCAGGGACATCGGCCCAGGTGGATAGCTTCCAGCATGGTGCTGTTCGGTGTTGCTGCCTTCGCGTGCTCGTCGCCGCACTTCCTGTTCGGCCACCACCAGTATTCGCCGTCGGCTTCGATGATGAGCGGCGGTGTGGCCGGGTCGGCTGGAAACTCGACCAACGACTATTATCCTTCCAACGTGTGCGTGGCTCCCGACCTCAGCATCGGTGCCGAAGGTAGTCCTCGGCCACCGGTGCAGCAACACGACATGTGCGAACAGAACGAACTATCCGAACAGTTGGAACAGTCCAGAAACACGCAAATTGTGTTGGCCATATTTTTCACCAGCCTGCTGGGAGTGGGCATCGGACAGACTGCCGTTTACACGCTGGGCATACCGTTCATCGACGACAACGTGGCCAGCCGCGAGTCGCCACTGTACTTCTCCATCACGATTGGGGTCCGCATACTCGGACCCTCTTTTGGGTTCCTGTTGGGCGCATTGTGCACCAGCCTGTACGCTGACCTGAGCAGCGAGCCCAACATGGATACCAACAACCCGCGGTGGGTGGGCGCCTGGTGGCTGGGCCTGGTCGGCATTTCGGCCACTCTGTTGTTGGCCTCCGTGCCGATGTTCGCGTTCCCCAAGCGGTTGCCTGGTCCGCCGTCGGCCACCAATGCCGCCCTGAAAAAGCAGCACCCACCCCAGCGAGCCGTCAACGGGTGCGCCGATGTATCCCTGTCTTTGCCACCACCTCCCCCTTACGACGGCTCGTCGGACGTGCCCAAGACGCCTAAGCTCAAAGATTTTCCGACCGCCGTCAAGAGGCTTCTGAAAAACGACATGCTCATGTACAGGACCGCGAGTAGCGTGTTCCACCTGTTGCCACTGGCTGGCATCTACACGTTCCTGCCCAAGTATTTCGAGTCACAATTCCACTTTCCCACGCACACCGCCAACATGGTCACAGGTAAAGATATTAATGTAATTTATAATTACGTCATTTTTATAATGTATATGTCGTGTTTGTCGTTGTGGGTGAGTGGACCTACTCAGTACTCACGTTTCATAGATGTTTACTCGGCGGATACAGGCAAACGGCCATATCCGCCATAAACACAGTTTTTTAGGGTAGTGAAAGTATAAATTTTTCCTTCTGAATATTATTTTCAATAGTAAATTTTAAGCTTCGCAGGTTAAATTTAAGTTGACTGTAATGTAATGTTATTGAAACATTGATGAACTGAAACTTAAAAATCAGTTCAATAATTATTAACAATGTGGTCCCTTTCATTTTGATAAAAATATAGGTTGCCCAAAACCAAAGTTGTCGGTATCACACGTATAGTGCAATGTTTCATAAACCATTAGGGCATTAGATAGATAAATGCACACTTATGATTTTAAAATAACGAGTAATATAATATTTTACTTGTACCAGAGGTAGGCGGCATCTATCGGACAAAAATTGAACCACTCCGAATCTAAATCGGCAGCACTTGAATTTTCGTCCAAAACAATCTTATTCAACTAAAAAGGAAAGTGCCTGCAGTTTAGCACAAGTATATTATATCAGGGCTAGGTACCTTTATGAGTTTTTCGTTTTCGGTTCTAATACGGCTGTTTTAAAAATTAATTCATTACCGGTTTCGGTTCCGGTTCCGGTATATACCGGTATTTAGAAATATAATTTTTTTTCCAAATGTAATAAAATATTCAAGTAAGTACAAACTTCATATTATATAAAATATTCTGATAAAATAATAGTTGTCTTAATAGGTTTAGGGAACTTAAGTGAGTTTAACTGTTTCTCTAAATACATGCAAAACAAATTTAAAAAAAACCTGGGTTGATCCGTGTCGTGAGAAGTTGTGGTACCAGAGTGCATCATAGTTTTAATATCATAGTTTTATACAATCAAATAATCCATTTTATCTGTCAAAAGTGATTTTTTTTTTTAAGTGGTCTTGATTTTTACAAGATGTGTGTGTCCAACTTTGTAATTGTCGTCATTTGCTCGCTCACTGAACACACGAGTGATAGGTGCATAATTTTGTGTGATCCAAAAGGATATTTTTTATGAATATGGTAATTACTAATTATAATCTATTATATACAGTTCCTAATTCATTGATTAAATTACTCTATAATAGATGTGAGTCTGTGACCTCTCATTGCAACTTGTAACTTGTAAGTTATCGTAGGCTTCAGTTGTATAAAAGTGTTAACTTAAAACTACTGACATTTATGCTAGCATTAGTGCAATGTATTGAGATGTTTATTTTATGTATCTTCTTATTAATAGGTACTCATCTGAGAGTTTTTTTTATAAAAATTTCAAATAACAAAATTGTGTATACTAAATGTTTTAGTACAAAATGCTATTTAATTTTTATACGAAAACAACTTAGCGTTATGAGTATGGTCTAATAATTTTATTAGTCATCAACGTCACTAGACTTCATCGTCCAAAACTATAAACAAATTATAAAGAAATAATCACAACGATGGGTCAATGACTATCGGACGAGTAAATAACAATTTATATACTACAATAATGTTGATAACTACTCATAATAATAACCTTAATGTGTTACCTAAGTTACTTTATACATTCCTATCATTGTAATTTTAATCTTCACACTGTCAATAATAATTGTAAATACAATCTGTTGGAAAAAGTTGAAGAACTTAAATATTTTGGTATCTTAATTAACAATGAACTGAAGTGGAATAGTCATATCATCATTTGGCCACTTCTTTACGAAAGTTTTTCTGCATCTTCGGAAATTATATTCAAAAACATTATTTATTTTTACTATTTATATGAAATTTACTATAATGCTATATACTTATCCTTAGTGCAATCTGTTTTAAATTACGGAACGATGTTTTGGGATATTCATAATAAATTCACCTAATGTCTAGTAAAATTGAAAAACAAAAATATCAATTGTTTAATCAATTTTTTATTGGATAAATCTGTACTTTCCACTACACATATCATATTTATGAACTAAATATCCAGCTTTAATAAATTATTTTACACAAATGAGCTTTTTTTAAATATCATTTTAACAAACAAAACTACGAGCTAATATAAACGTAATATATACCACTTTTTGACCATAATATTTAACTATTGTAGGGACATTTAATATTATACTGTATACTTATAATGCCAACAATTTAGTTTTAAATTGTTTGTATGCAATTTAAGGAAGATTTATAAACTGTATAATATGTAATTACTTTGGCTTTGTTTTTGTTGATGAAATCTGTAGAAAAATCACTAGATTTCATATTTTGAAAGTGTTGCATTTGCAATAAAATACGTGTTGACGTGTTGCTATCTATTTTTGTGGTACAAATAAAGTCTTATTATTTTATCGTTTTTTGGAACTTTTATAGATTATATAGAAATAGAAAATTGTAAAGCCACGTTTACAACCAAATAAAATGAACCAATTATAATTACCTTAATAAATAAAATATCTGAACAATATTGGAACCGGAAAAAAACGACGAATATCGGTATCGGTATAGGTTCCTATAAGAAAATCGTAAAAACGTACCGGTAAAGTTCAAATACCGGTGTTTTTAATTTTTAAGCTCTAGTCATATTATAGCATAGGTATATTGTGTCGCAGGCATAACTGCGAACAAAACCATGAACGCATGAAAACTGAAAGTTTTTCTCTTTTTTTTCATCTCAGGCATTTACGGAATTATGGTCATGGGCATTGGAATCATAATATCGGGAATATTCATACTGAAGAAAAATCCAAATGCCAGAGCAGTGGCCGCGTGGATCGCGTTTACGGCCCTGGCATACGCCATCGGTAAGACGAGTATAATATCATGGTTAGGTACGTCGGCAGACACAGAGGCATTGACTTGAATTATTATTACGATTTATAGGTATGTGCATTTTAATGTTTTTCGGATGTCCAACTACGAATATCACAGGATTGCGATACGACGAACTGTGAGTATACAAAATTATGCAACACGATCACTGTAACGTATATCATTATACTTTGGAAAGTCATTGACTCTTGTACGGTTTTATTTTCGGGGACCTTTAAATAAATACACACACAATCCACAGGTAGTATAATGGGTTATAGATTTCGGTTATTTTTTATTTATATTTCGCTGAAAAACTCTTATGACGTCTCAGATTATGAGTGAAGTTAGTGTGAAAAATCAAGTAGGTATATTATACGAATCGATAAAGGTAATGTTATTCTATTATATCGGAGTAAACGAACAACTACAAGGCATTATAATAATATTGTATATTTGTAGAAATGAATAAATCTAAGTAATTACGGTGGTTATGAGTGTCGATTCAGACAAGCCAAGTAGAATTGTTTTTTTTTTTAAATTTTAAACGACTTTAAAAAATAAACTAAATCACGAGAAAAATAATTCACAGTAAAAATTTATTCTCGAAGACATCGAGTTTTATCTAAGCACCTAATGCACGTAATGCGTCGTGATATTTTTTTTTGCTGAACAGTGCATTTTCGTGTCACACGCTAAAGTCACTTTGCACTTCAGTGTGCGGTGTGAACGGCTTTCTAATTTTATCGGTTTCGTGGTTGTCTTGCACAAGAATCAGCTCTAGCTCAAGTCTCCGTGCTCGGATCGTCGCGTGTGACACGAGGAGCTGATGTCCTCCTTAGTTGTTACGGCGAGTCCAGCTTTAATAATTACATATGTCCGTCCCACTTGTACTTAATATTCAGTATTAGGTAGAACATCAACTAGTATCTACAGTGAAAAGTATCCGCAATAAAAAAGTATATTGCATATTTTCTGATAGTTCAGCAGGGAAAAGATTTCGAGTAGAGTCATAGTGACAATAGGTTCGTTACCTCTTGATGTTGGAACCCTGTGAGTCAGCATTTATGAGGCGTAATGGACGCATACCTAACAAACGGATAACGTGTGAGGACCTATCTTGGAAATAGTGTGAAAAAAAACGATTGTAAAGTTAGCCGTTTAGTGAAACAAAGTATCAAAGTATAATGAAGTATATTATAACATATTATATTATGTTTCTTTAATTTTTCTAAAATGTTGTGGGGTGAACACTGGGGTCACTGCAATTAGTATGTAAGCGTCGTTTTTTTGGATATAATAACCTCACGAGTCAGTAGAATGGCCTCATAATATTGTTCGTTTAATATTGTCTTGTACAGGGATCAGCCCAAGTTCGAGTCACCGTGCTCGGACCGATGTGTGTGCGACGAGGAGATGTTCAGTCCGATTTGTGGCGTGGATGGGATAACTTACTTCTCGGCGTGCCACGCCGGATGCCGGAATCAGACGTTTGGAAAAGAGTACAGCGCTGGCTACAAGGTACCTACTAATAGTATGATGTATATTGTACCGCCTGTGATATTATATGGGTCACATCGCAATCGTGATGTCGTCGACTTATTTTTGTCACCACGATCATATACTATTGTTTTTATATCATGTTTACCACTCTCCCTCAGTGAGTTATCCCCCAAAACACGACTATAAAAATAATTGACTGCGTATAATCATTATTGTCACTCCGACGTTGGACACCAACGAGTTGAGAACAATAATATTAAGATTCAATCATTAAAAGATGATTTACGAGCTAACCATATTTTATCTTTCAAATTTTAATTCAACAATTTACATTTGTTGTACCTACTGTCATATATACTCATTATATACTCATTATAAAATAAAATAAAAATAAAATTATTAATACTTCTAGTTAAATTATTTAGATGCAGTTATAAAGGCATCAAAACAAAGAGTTATCTTTAGACATTTTTTCTCGTGCTTTCTGCAGATCAATGCATAAATAAATAAAATATGAATATGGTTGCTATTAAATAATATTAATATAATATGTATTGTCATAAAAACAAATAAAAATGTCAACTTTTAACTTTTAATTAAATTTAGTTAACATTTAGGCCTCCATTTAACTTATAGCTATTTTACTCTATATTTAGTTGACTTATTAATGAGATAAACCTTATATATTTTTTTTACACTTATCTTGCAGAACTTTCCATAACATTATTCTATATAACAAATCGATCACAGCACAATCCGTCAAATTTTATAGTCACATAATATTTTAATGTCTACTATCTTATTTGGTGCTCTTTTATCCCGAGTTAAGACACAAATCTTTATCTTCTACATTATTTTGCAGTTCACGGACTGCCAGTGCATGAACAGCAACGCCACTGAGGCGTATCCGGGCTCGTGCAAAGACGATTGCGAGGACTCAGGCTTCTGGTACATAGCTCTGTTCTCCTTGTTCGTGTTCATCCATTCCACTTCAGAGGTGGGCAGCATGTTGCTTATACTTCGGTGCGTACATCCTCAGGACAAGGCCATGGCTCTCGGGCTCATACAATTCGCCATAGGCCTATTCGGTAAGTCCATAATATATATAGCGGCCATAAACCGTCCGACTTCCATGTTTACTAATAACATAGCCACCTGTGGTAATATTCAGTCAGCTTAATATGTGGAGCATCTACAGGGAAAAGTACCCAGAACGGCCATAACACAAACGTATTGTATTTATATAATAGTTCAGGGGGAAAATTATCCTCGGCAGAGTGATAGATGATAGTGACAACATTCGTCGAACATCTAGTGGTTGCCGGTTGGAAATCCAGGGTCGCATTTAGGAAGTTCAATGGGTGTCATTGCAGCATAAAGGGATGTTAGAGGGATAGTCTTGGAAATAATGCAAATAATAAAAACGGTTGTCAAGTTAGATATTTAGTTAATTTAGCTTACAATATTATGAATTTAATTTAATAAATCCTTGATGGGGAACCAAACTGCCGCTGTTAATATCGATTTTTTTACCAAGAAATTAAAAATACAGAATAAAGCGGTCCCTATACTTTTGAAACGTACATATTTTGTAACATATTATAATGTATAGCGAGTGGAAGAGAGAATTTTCGTTTAGTAAATAAAACAACAATTAGTAGTATTTGGAGGTTTTAAATTTTGTCTATAAAAAAACTGTAGACTTGTACCTACAATAATATATTATAATTTATAAGTCATGCTTAATATTAAATAAATTAGATTTTACCGCGGAAAAATTCTAGTTAAATATAACCACGAAAATCATAGAAAAAAATATTATAAACAGGTAAAATCTGTAAGGAATACCTCTAAAAGTAAGATTCAAGAGGTATTATATGATTGCCCATTTTTTTACTATAACAAATCGTAAGGAGTTGGTTAAATCTTATTCAAACATTATCTACCGGTGTTTTAGTATTTAAATTACATACAAAAAATGTCATAAAAAACAAATAACCGTATTGAAATGGTATTGGAAAATTGAAAATAAAAATATTCTACGTATCCTACGAAATAATCCCATAATCAACTCAGACGTTTCGGAACCAATTTAGATTTACATTCATAGGATAGCTACATAGGTAAATAATATTATAAATATGATATAATTGTATGTAGATATATTATATCGTACACTCACGCCTATTACATACTCAAGAGCTAAGGAGGGGTGCACCCAAGATTTTCTTTGGAAGGGATAAATACAATTATTTTTAAATACCTAGTAATAGTATTTATTTTTAAATCCAAAAGCTAGCTTGTGAACGATCTTAGTAAGATTATTAATAGTTATTTTTAGATCACAACTTAATGTCTACACATAATAAAATAACCAAAATGTTAAGCCCGCATCCTCTTCCTGGCGCTTACTTGGACTGACTGATTGTCTATATCTACATATTGCATTAAAACGATCATCGGTACTAAACTATTTATCGTGTCTATATTATATTATATTAATATTATTTTTAAAACTTTTTCACACACTGTGACGATTACTATGAGTTATATAATTGTTTTATTGTCACACAGGTAACGTTCCTTGCCCCATACTATACGGAGCAGTCGTCGACTCTGCCTGTCTCATATGGGAAATGACGTGCGGAAAACAAGGAGCGTGCTCTCTGTACAACTCGGACTCGTTCCGTATCTTCTACCACGGTAATAACAGGCGGCGGTCGATCTGGGAAGATTCGATTTCCGATAATAACACAATTATTATCATTATAGACTTTGGGTGTCGTTATTATTTTGTAATAAGTATATGTGTTTCTGTTTCCTCGGAGATCGTAGATATATTAATATTATATTATACGTAGCTTACCTAATACCTATTGTGGAAAAAATGTAATGACTAGGGGTGAGATTTTGATGCCTAAATACGTTTTAAAAATTCACCTAAAAAAAAGAAAAGCTAAATGCTTTATAAATATTCAAATAATTGACTGTAGAAAAAAACGGTTAAATTTATCTTTTTTATCTTTGAAATGTGAAAAAAATCTTGAATTAGATAGGTACCTATTTTTAAACATTATATGATTTCGTCTTTTTAAAATGATTGAAATACATTTCAAATAGTACAAAAAATAATCATATTCTGACTAGGTTTGATATTAGGGATATTTTGATATTTTAGGGTGTTACTACTGGCTAACCTCTATAATTTTATTACTCAATATTAAGTATGTTTTTCTGTATTTTACCCAACCTAATTATAATGAAAAACTATTCTTTAAAATAAAAAAATAAGATAAGCAGGTTTGATATAACTTGAAAATGAATTGACGTTGTCTTAGTTGTATAAATTATGGTTCGTTGTTGTTTAATATTTGAATAAAAAATTTTCATAGGTTGGCTGATAAATTGCTACCTTTGAAAATTCTAAGAATGAGCAAAACGTACACAACGAGGAAGAGTGTAAAATACAAATTACATTTGAATATCTATAATACTAATGTTATTTTATTTATAAAACTAAATTTTTAAACACACACAAAAAATAAAAATAAAAATAAAAAAATGAAAATGCATCAAAATCTCAGTCTACTAATGATATTTTACACGATACATAATATTGAAGCAAAGCGTTTATAAACTATTATAAAGCTAAATTGTAAGAACAATTAATTGTTTATCCAAAATATGTTAAAAGAGACTATACAAATATAAATTGGACGGTGCGTGGGTTAATAATAATTTGTTATAATTATTGCCAGCGCCGTTTGCTTATGATATGCAAACATTCCGTTTATATGATAATTTAATCTCAAATTAATTTCCAATTAACTGTTTATATTTTGTTCATTGGTCGAGTGTTACTACTGGGTAGCTACTCCCCTCGAGCATTCTCTGCCAATATTTCTTACTCACAATATACAATATACTTATCGTAAAAATGTTTCAGATTATATTATGATTATATATTCCAATAAACCTTAAAATATATTTTGTTCACAACAGGTGTTACTGGACTGCTGATGATGTGCGCCTTTTTCGTTGATATAATTGTCTGGTACAAGGCGGGGAGTATAAGCTTTGAGGACGACCATCAACTGCCGATTAACGAGGAAGAACTGAGCCAACTGACACCTATAACTGACAAAACCGAAACGACTGTTTGACTAAAGTGAGAAATGTCATGGATTTAAATTGATTTTACGGAGGAGCTAGGGCTTTCAACATTTTGAATTTACATAATATTATTTAATTTGAATCTATTAAGTTTAAAACTGGGAATCAATAATAAAATCTTATAGCAGAAGCCGTAAAAAAAAATATTATTATAATGTGGAACGTAACATAATTTAAATCTTAAATATTCCGGAACATACATTTGTTAAGTCGGAGTGCGTATTATTGAAATGGAGGCTAAAAATAAAAACAATTTAATCCATCGAGAAATATCACTTTTTCTATCATAATATATTAAGTATCACGAAAAAAAACAAATTACAATAATTTATATGAATAAGTTGAATTGAAAATAATAAAGTTCCGTAAAGTATAAATTGTAAATCATATTCAATAACAACCTACATATTAATATGGATCTGTTTTTGATGATATATTATTCTCGAGAATCAGAATTATCATATAATTTAATATGAATAACATAGTATATGGTAATAGTCTCATAAACATAATAATATTATATATTATGATATGTAACAGGTTATCTAACATCATTGTACTGAAATAACGGTAAATAGGTCGTACAGGTTGTCGGCTGATTTAAAGTTCAATAACTTCGGAAAATCTACATTTCATTGGATTAGATCAACATTATTTTGGTTGGACTCACACCAAATATTTTAACAACCTTAATGTTATCTAAATAATAATAATACCTATAATATGAATACGGAAATTTGATGGCCATGTATATTTTTTAATCTAGATTGAATGTTTAATGTATTTATTCGACGAATATATCGAATTTAATAGGGTCATGGATCTTTTCCGCCATAAAATCGGTTACTGGTAGCCTGGTTCCATCAAAAACGTAAAAGGTTTGATTCTCGTTTTTGTCAAAATGTATTTTTTTGAAGACGTCTCAGATTAGGTTTGGCTATTGTTTGAGAACCATTTTTGGTTGTGTAAAAAATAAAAATATAATGATAAGATGTGTGTACACAAAAATAAAAATAAAAACGACATAAAAAATATTAACAACAATTAATTTTATTTATAAATTATAATTGAATTTTTTAAATGTATTATATAACAGTTGCAGAGTATAAGTTAAACCGATGTACAATTTAATTGTAGTATTAACAAAGAAGAATCGCTTTCAAACCAAAGTTCTACCAATTTTCTTTGACTGTTATTATTTAATTAAGTTTTCAGTTTTTTACTTGGTATACCTATACCTATATATTAGTACATTACATACGAATTAAAATCATTAGTCTCCAAATGTAACAGCAATCATTTTCATTTAAAATATTTAATTATCATTAACTAGTAGTAATTCATTTTTTTTAACTATTAATTATAAAAATCATAATCAGGCTAAGTTGTTGAAGCTCCTGAGGGTGCTGTCACTGGACAGCATCCCTCCTCATACTAGTCATTTGATGTTAATATTATTTTATCATCAAATTTGCTTACTGTTCCTATGTTACGGATTGTAAATTTTTTTATTTTAATAAAAAAAAAAAATTGTTGAAGCCCATATTTCTTTCAATAAAAAAAAAGTACTATAGGTACTCATGTTTTTTTTATTTGCAGGTAGATGGTACTAAAGAACATCAACATCAACACGATATGTCATGTTCCTTATTCATAACCTCGGAGAGATCTGTTTAATTGTTATTGAATTTTATACGGATTAAATGTATAAATTTTTCATTTATAACTTATGTAAATATATAAGGTATATTATAAATGTTTTTAATAATTTTACGCAAGTCAAAACATGACAAATTTATATTATAATGATCACCACAAGGTGCTTTCAATTTATATAAAAAAGTAGCATCACTTACAGTTTATATAGATAGAATAATTATTTTCGTTCCTTACCGGTACAATAATACATTTATTGTAGGCAACGAAAAATAAACAATAGAATTTTTTTTATATGTTTTTTATTAGATATATTTTTATAAACGACTATATGCGTATTTTATTGTTGATAGGAAATTTGTTATTTTAGGTGAAACTTTTTTTCATATTTTAAAGTCAATTACTTTTGCTACAAACAACCTTTTTTTTATGACTTTACTACATTATTGCAATTTTTATTGTATTAAGCTTACAGTATACATCACTTTATTATATACAATTAGATAATAATATACAATGTAAAATCGACTTATCTCACGTTTTTGAATTATAATAATATTATAGTGTGTTGTTTTTGTAATCTCAAATTCATGATGGACCCCGGAGACCCAAAAAATTAAAACGATGAAAAGGCTGTATTCGTTTTCTTGTAAAACAATAATAATTTATTTTAATTTTACAAATTAAAATCGATTTTTATTTTGTTAATTTATTATTTTTCTAATTGAATATTTTTTTTTTAGTTTTAAGCGTCACATAATATATTAAGTTACCTTTTTATATAAATAAAAATTAATTAATAAAAATTATATTAGTATATTCAAGATATATTATTTTAGTTATAATTAAAATAACTTTAATTATTGAAAAAAATAGTGAATTATTTTTGTTGTTTGTCTAAATATTAGATGGCATATATTACTCAAACATCAGATATTTTGTTTTAAATCAATTTTATGCGTGTGCTATGTTGTTTTTTTTATTGTTAATTTATGTTTATTATTATAATTTATAATGTTTATTTATTTGTATTTTATTGAAAAATTATAGTAGAAATAATTGGTTTTAGATAAGATTATTTATCCGACTTTGTAAACGACTCTTTTGCTGTTCAATATCACTTTTTAAAATGTCAAAATGTTTTTTCATATACTATAATCTTTTTAAACTTTCTATCCGTTTTGAAAACTGTTTGTTCGGTTGGTTAGATTAAATGATGAAATAATTCATCAAAATCGACTGACTTATTTAGAAATAATGTTATTTTTAAAATTTATTTGTACAATAAATAACAACGTATTTTTATATTGCATTTAAGACATGGTTTCGTTTAAAATAAAACATGTTTTTAAGAATTTAAAATGTATTATTATTGTTAATTTGTTTAAGAATAACGATTGATATGAAAAAACAAAACAAAGTACAATAAATGTTAATTATAATCTTAATAATCCGTTCGGATATTTATTAAACTATTTAGTCGGTATAAAATAAAAGAGAGAAAAGACGATTTTGAATTCTAAGTGGATGAGCAATGAGTGTACAGATTTTACAACGATGTGTGTTTTTTTATAATAATTCTCATTTGTCCTATCTGTAACCTTACCTTTTGGGGTAGTAAAAACTTAAATGCAAAAAGTTTCTTTAATAAATTTGAGGATAAAATATACTTTAAGAAAATTGCATCTTATTGAGGAGTAAAATGTAAATAATTAATAGAACTATTCAAAATAACCGGGGAAAACAAAAAATATATTGAAGAAAAACGGGAATTTTCGTGCAAAACCAGTACTCGACAAAATCGATTTTGTCGTTTTGGTACAACTAAAACACAAATATCAGTAGATATTTAAAATGTTCACAAAAATATTATCATTTCCCTTAAATAGTAGAATTTTTTTAAAATTTTGTTTTGTTTTAAGCTATTTATAAATATTTGAAATTTTCTTTATATTTTTTTCTGTAAATGACTAGAGGTATAGATTTTCCTTTGTGTCAAAAAGATTGAAAATCGGATATCAGGTTTCTTATATGTAGCTTATCGTGTAACCAAAAAAAACTAAAGAATGTAGGAACAAAATATTCTTTTAGACATTTTATATATTTGTAATTTTTAAAGACGAAATTAGGTATTTAAACGAAGAATAACGTTTTATTATATTAATAGTAAAATAAATAACTTTAATATTGAAATAAAAATATACTATTATAATATAGATACAATACTTGTTTTTGTTCAGAATCGTTTTCGTTTTTATGAAAATTTGATAATGATTTATCATTTAAATCAAATTTAATACTCAATAATCGTCACCTAATGCGCAGTGCAACAGAACGGTTACTAATTAAAAATAAAATTTTTTTGGACACACTAAATGTTTGAAATTATATACTTAGCTGGGCGATATTAGTCTAAACATGTTTAATATTATGTAGGTATTTGTAATGTCTGTGTTGCATTATAATATCCTTCAAAGAACTAGAGAAAATGTATTTAAATATGCATGAAATGTATAACACTCACAATGAACCTGGATGAAACTGAGCAGTTAAAGAAGAGAAAGTTGAGAATGAGAAAAATAAAAATAAAAAGAAGAAAAAGAAAAAGAAGGAGAACAGGTTAAAAATATGTTGTGTTACAGATGTTACAAAATTGATTAGAATAATATGTAACCAAGAGGTGATAGATACATAAATATAATATATAAGGTGATAAAATATGTATACACACTACTTACGTATATGTATATTACATACAAGTGTGCAGTGTACAACCTGTGGCGTTAAACCTAACAGTTAAATACAATACATATATATATATTAATGACTTCAGAAAATACAAAATCCCATCAAATATATATTTTTTTAAATTTGTGTATATTTATTAAACTATATAAATAAGAGTGAAATTTTGAAATTTGAAATACATTTTCTAATCTGGGCTTGTGTCGAAGGCACAGCGTTATAAAACCATTTAGTTTAAAAAAATACACTAATAAATATAATTTAAGAGTAAGCTTTGAGTAAATTATAAACTTAGAATTATTCCGTAAAACACAGAAAACATCAACAATATGATGGACTTTTTATGAAACCAGTACAATAAAATTTAAATTTAAAATAAAATAAATGTAATTTTTATGATTTTTATCATCTCTCAATTGTAAAAGAGGTATTGTAAATGTTAAAATCATAAAATTTGTCGTCGTTTATGTTTTAAATGATCAATAAAATAAGCACACACACACATATATTCGGATTTAATGTTGAAATAAATACTTTCTTAAGGAATCACAATCTACTCATTGTTTTTACAAAGGTAAGATAGGTCCTACTGATATACAGACTTTGGTTAAGTTGAATTATTTACAAGGAGACACACTATTTTTGTGTAATACAGTAAGATAATACTATGTTAAACAATATATTAATTATTATTAATATATTTATTGTATTATTTAATTGCGACCACATTACTGGGTACAGTTTTTGTTTATCAGTACAGTATAACTGTTCTATTGCAGGGCATTATATCATTTAAGTAATTAAATAAGAGTTATAGTTTCTTTTTTATTAATTATGCTTGTAAGTAGCTGGTACGTTCATTGAAAAAATAAGTTAATGTGCATAGGATTAAAATGGCTGTATGATATAAAATACTATAATTTACAACATTAAGACGTTTAAATAAATTAAAAATAATCAATGTTCATCTTCAAGTTCTGTTAGGGTCTGCAGGTAGTAACATAAAGTTAATTATTAATCTAAAGTTTGTACCTTGTAATATTTACTCTGGACAAATGGGTGGTGAGTTGATCAAAGAACACTGATTAGATATTAGCAATTAAGCTCTGGTAACTACTTGCAGTATCTTTGTAAAAAATAATAAATTAGGGAAATTATCATTAGTTATTATTACTGCAGGAAACAGCAGTAAGATGAAACTAACCTAGGGTGACCAGCGTTCCGGGATTGTTCCTCTTTTGACCACCATGTTCCGTTGTCCCGACCAATTTCGAAATGGACGCTTTTTATCCCGTTTTTCCATATTTTTACACCGTATCTTTAAAAGAAATCAATGTATGAAACAAATATAAAACGGGTTTATAACCAAAGTTGTAAATAATAGATAATAGTGCCGAAGATTTTTTTGGGGGAGGGGGGCTGACGGGGTGTAATAACTGTAACAAAGTTTTTTTTTTTTTTGTAAAATGATCACTACCTAAACTATCCTACTCTAATAGAGACTACTATTATTCTAAAGCAATACAATTAATGTAAAATGTAGCAGTGCTCCGATTAAATAAATGTTATGCAGCGTACAGCAGATAATTAAAATACAAAAAGCGCCTAATTAGAGAGTTCAACCAATACGTAACGATTTATAATATTTAAAATTAATTAAAAATGTTTTGTGTTTAAAATTTATATTTTTAGAAAATTGATTTATTCGCGTAAACTTTTATTCACACCATATTGTTGAATTATTGAAAAAATTAAAAGTTGCTCAAATTTGATTAATACATAACTTAATATGTGACATTTCACTTGGTATTTCGTAGTTACTGTGCTTATATTTTGGAATTTTTGGTTCATCCGTTGGAAAAATGAATAGATAAATAGTTTTTGAATATAATTATATACCTACATTTATATAGATGGTGTACTTTATTATATTATACATTATGCATTTTAAAGTTATTTTACTGTCTAAAACAGAACATCCGGAGGAATATATATAATAAATTAAGCAAAGCTAAGACAGAATACCACATCAATTACATACTTAAACACTATAGGTATTAAATTTTCTAATTTTATTTAGGTCGATAGCTTTGTACATGAAACGAAACTAACAAAATGTAGACATAAACCTGTTGTGTAGGTATAATATCTTAGTTTTAACTAAAAGCGGATTAATATTCACAGTAAATTTTTTTAACATATTATACCCTATAAATTATTAATAATAATTTATTATAATACACTATCTTTTAATCTTCTATTTTTTTACACATGGTAAACAGTCTGTAATGTATTAAAATACAGTAGAAGATATAAATAATCTATGATTTACAATTTTGGTTTTTTGAATAAAATGTGAATATTATAGTTACATTATTGCGATTGATTCTCAAATTAAAATGTTTTATTTTAATATAATATTTTGATTGAGTTATATGGATTCAAAAATAATGATTATAATTCATTTTTGACACATATTATTATGTAAAGACAAAACATGCATGAAAAAACTCAGTAGCCAAGGTCGTGGTGGTTGGCATGTTTCTTTTATGTCGGACAATGTACACAATACATTATACGAAAGCGTTAAGTGTTTTCCTACGTTTTCTTGTCAACAGGTCATATCCGGGTATGGTTCAATCTTCTTCTAATACTGCATAATACAGTGACTTGCACGTCCGTCGTATATTTCAGTGGCGACTATTATAATATTCCTATGACATAACTATAAGTAATATTATTGTTTTTTCAATTTACCACCAAAAATATTTTAAAATAAAATCACTTTTGTAGAGTACAACAAAATATTATATTCAAACTCGAAAATAGTATAATCCCATGTATTTGTATAATGGAATGAGTCAAGTAGCGATGTTTTCGATTACCAATAGGTTGGTCGATTTAACTGCAGTAGAAGACTTCTAGAAATCATTGAAATCGGGGAAACTAGATTTTGTACTTTAAGTGCGCTATTAACAACAAATAGGTAGGTACAATGGTATACATTGTAAATCATAATTACTATTCATAAACTCAGATATGTCATTGTTAAGTGTTTGTTACTCGTTTTCAACTAAGCCTTACGAAAACCAAAAGTATTTTGCATAGCAATATTAGTTAGCTTACTACATAATATTATGTTTGTTCATTAGTTGCCCGAAGTAAGTTGTATAATATCGTCATTAGTTATGAGTTATGACTGACGAAATCACAAGAATATTAAAACAATATTATTGTACGTACCTAGATACCCGTGAAATGGTTAAATATTATGCTTACGTATGAAAAAATCTGCTTCACAATATCTGAAAATTTCAGTTACATGTGTACAGCTACAGTTTACTGAGTAAACATTTTACTTCAATGTTGCATTTTAATTTATTAGATGCCTTGTTCAAAAAAAATGTGTGATATGTAATATTATAATCTTACAAGCTAGGTAGATATAACATACGAGTTAATATAATTTGAATTACTTCACGGTCCACATACATAATATATTAGATATACCTGAACAGGAAAAAATTTCAAGGTTTTCTTATGACGCTGTGGAAAATTGAGTTTAGAAAATGTGTTAAAAAAACCTTAAAGGTAGTTTTTTTATAGCGGAAGCATTATAGAATGTACACACAAGGCATTAGAACATTTTTATTTTAGGAAGATTGAGGTTTTTTTTGAAATTCTAGTAACACATTTTTATTTTACATCAGCAAAATTGTTTTCCTGTTTTTTATATTTTCACTAATTACGATAATTATTTTAAAATATCGATGTACCTATGTATATTGTATATTATTTTTACCACGGAGTATATGTCATTAAATAATTTATATTTCCTTAATTGAATTGCATCGGTTTAAAGTATCTATTACCTAAGTGCTATGATTATTTTGAATATTATATTAAACCCAACTAGTGGCGTAGCCAGATTTATGAATTGGGGAGGGTTAAGTATAAATGAAACTAAGATTTTTACAGTTATCTTGTATAAATAATAGATTTATTGGGGGGAGGGGGTAAAGGCAATGGGGGTGGGTAAGTTAAACACTCAAACCCCCCTGGCTACTCCACTGTACCTAACTGTACTAAGACCTAACTAATATTGATTATTATAAGCGAAATTTGTCTTTAGTTGAATGGCGAATATATAACTATACTAAATTATTATTTCACCAAGTGACTTGGGACTGTACAGAATTCACACTGTCAGTGTCTACGTCTCCAACATTGAAAAGATAACTAAAAAATGATATATTTGTTTTGGTTGCAGGTCGTGGTCTCTTATGGTATAAAATATTACTTATACGTTTTTATAATGCACTCGAGAAGTACTTATTATTTTCATACTATATTTTCTTTCCACAAGAAATATGGTATCCGAATTGCAATAACGTATTTAAAATATTTTTTGTGTTATGAGCATTTTAACATAATCGTTTTTTCTTCGTTTTTCGAGTTACACTTACAAGTTACAATAGTGATCATACCCACAACAACACGCTTAAGTGCAACTGACAATATGAATTATTTATAACGGGTTTACGGTATGCACGTGTACTGTGTAGCCACACATGTTGGTATATAAAGTGTGTTTCATTATTATTTATTTGTCATTGAACTCTGCGCACACTTACCGATCGATATTATATTGATATAATAGAACAAAAATCAAACATAGGTTCTCAAAAACTAAAATATACGATGATATACTTGAAACCAATAACTATAAAATTATGACGAGTGAAAAGTTATGGTTATTCGTGACGCGTTCGCTTGCCATCATACTGTAAATGGTAATGCATCTTAATAAACACTTATATAGGATAATACAATTATTAATTGCCGTTATATTAGGAGGAAACGTTTCGGTTTCGACATTACATGAACCGTTTTGCTATGGGTCAAAATACTTCTGTAATACCTACCTATGCGTGTAGGTACGCATTAATATGGTTTAATCTCCCTGATATTAAATCACAGAAGCAATAATCCCTTAAGTACCCAAACGTTTTATAATATTTTAATGATCATTTCAAGTACGGAGTTAATGTTGTATTTTAGCTAGGTATTCATTCAATACATCGCTAATAGCCAGCATTCAGGTATATGGGGTGATCTATGTAACGTAAGACACTCATTACTTCAGAAAACGCTAACGTTTTTGAAAATATTTCTTTGACATGATATTGAAAGTCCTTAGAAAACAATTGATTTTTACTATTTCTTAAATTTTTTTACCTAATTGAACGTCAACTTACATTTTTAATTACATAATCCAATGTTACTAGGTTAGAGATTTCGATCTATAAGACTCAAATTTCAGTCACGTACCAAGATAATTAGTTAAAACTTATAAGTATTTAAATTTTAAAGTTTTGACGAATGGAGTAAAGAACCAATATTTTGTAGGGGACCACCACTTCACTTCGCTCACCAAAACTTTAAATACTTTTACCTCAAAAGCTACTCGTTCAAAATTTGAAGTAAGTGGGTACTTTAAAAAATATTCTACTTGGAATAAGGAATTAAATATACATCTTGTTAAGATAAATAAAATACAAAAACGATAAAAAATGGTTTTTAACGATTTCAGATTATGTAAAAAAATATTTTCGTTAATAGTCTAATACATCTAATATTCTTTTCAGAAGTTATAATCAAAATTATATGGACCTAGGTAAACCACGAAACCTAAACGCACTACATCAAAAAAAAAAATGTATATGAGATCCACCTGAATGCCAAACAGTCATAATATTGAGTCTCATATTTTATAATGTATAGTATAAACTATATAAATAATATTATAATTAAAGCTTAAGAGCATAATCATTATAACACTCTAGTTTAGACTTATGACTGCGTTTGAAATTTATAAAACAATAATTTACTGTCTATAAATCGTATATTAATTTGTATTGTTATGTTATTCAATCTGTATTTATAGAAAATTAAGAACCTTAAAATAGTATAATAAAAAAACCATGTACATGTAGTTTGGATTCACATTATATTAAACAACTTAAATAAGACGTATACAGTATTATAGTGTAAAAAAGTTTCTTAAGACTCAGCTTTTTATTTATTAAATATTTAGTTGCTGTTACACAAGCACAAACGAATCAACACTAAAGTTATACAATTATATAGTTTTAATCGAGATTATAACTGTAATATTTTTTGTAATATACATGTATTATATAATTTACTATTTAGATTATTCATTGAAAATGTTTTAATATTGTTTCAATAATATTACTCAATAGCAAAACGAAAACTTTTTTAATCTTATTAATCTTATCGTAATTCTTACTTTTATATAGGCGCAAAAAAATAACAGTATGGATCTGTACAGGAATCTATACGCAAGAAGAAATTGTATTGTTGAAGTACCTATATTACTATATATGGTCAAATTTTTACAATTCTTAATTCGATAAACAACCATAATACAAGTCAATAGCTGTTGGCATATGTCTTAACGCATAATTACAACTCTACATTACGTGAGTCTTGTTCGTATATTAAGTATTTTATATTAAATTCATGAATAAATATATATTACATCCATTTTTTTTCGTATTACAAACATGTTCGGTGCATTAATTGTCGAACTCGACGCAAACCGAAACGCGATGCGGTTTGAATAAAAATAATAATAATATTGTCCGGATTAAAACATTGCGCGTGGCTTATGGTAAATAATAGTAAGACAGGTAAAGGTATATTAAAATATTATACATCTCTTGGTTTCAGTGATAAGTGCGCCGTCGCACGCGTCAGACCACCAACGCTCTGGCCGATTTGTTGGGCTGCATCGATGTGGCCGCGGTCGTCGAGTTGGAAGGCAACATGATCTTTGATTTGTTTTTGGATCCGACTCGGTTGTGCACTTGCAAATTCGACTCGACGACGATCTCGTCGAAGCCCACGTTTAACACTACCAAAAAACCAATATTGAATCATTAAAAAACGGTTGTGACGTAAAATTTGGTATATGCCTCTGATATCAAATAAATAGGTTGGATTGCAAAGGGTGTATTCGCTAGATATAAGTGCCTACTGCGACGTCACAATTAATTTAGTGATAAGGAGTCGAGGGGGAAAACCCATTTTTTCATTCTCCTCGTTTCGTATATGAAATTTTACCTTGGGTGGGTTTCTGAAGTCTGCTCATCCGGTTGTTGGAAGGAATCGTGGGCCCGGTCGCTGTCTCCAGTGGTTTGACTCCTCCGTCCTTTGCCGGTTGGCCATTGCCGGTGTCCTGCGGTCTGCAAAGGCATCCGATGACCAGCAGTAACAACACCATCAGCACGCTGACCGAGAGCCGTTGAGTGGTCTGCATTTTTAAAGGATTTGTTTTAATAAGCTACGATGTTATATTGGGTGTATGTAAAATAATCGTCGGCTAGGATGTGGAATAATAATAATAATAATAATAGAAACAGTTAGAATATATTATAATGGTCGGTCGACGGAGCTGGCGATGGTTCGTGCGCGGATGCTGATCCAATACTGCAGCCACCGCCATCCACTTGCCCACCCACCTACCCGCCGCCGACGCTGTAGTGGCCGATATCATCGTCACAGCAGCGGTCATACTCCAATCTCGCTTGGTAGAGGCTATATACAATAATAATGTATATTATTATATTACACGGCCGAGTATTTATCGTTATACCTATTACGTGTGTGAGTATATGAACGATATTATACGCACACACTCATATTATTTTATGTAACACACAATATTATTGTTCGTGCCACTCGCATGTGTCTATACATCATATACGGCCATATATGTACTGCGTTGACCGTGCTGCATCGACTCGGTGAAAGTATAATATCATATAAAACCAACTGAAATGTGAATTATATTGTTATTACTATACTCATTCGCTAATAGTGTTCCGTACAGATAAGATTCGGCGAGTGTTAGCAGTAAGCTAAAATATTTTGACAAAATTCTAACTTTATACGAGCATAACAAAATTTATTGCGGATTTACACTCTCAGTTTTTTCTATTTCAGTATTAAATAATAATATTACACGAAAGATTGTTTAAAATGTTAAAGCTTTTTGACTGGCTGACCATTTTTTATCGATATTTCCCCACCCAACCCCCGGTGTAAATTATTTCGCCATAAATTCTTGATGAAATTTGACGTAAGGCGCAGTTGTTACTACTGATGTTGTATTGGCGTAACTAAGATATAATGTCAAAAAACAATAATTTGGATTGAATTTTTTTTTATTGAACCATCACACAGTAACTACCTATCTGTTTATAATTAAATTTTACTAATTAAACTGTTATAACTGAGCTTTCAGTAAATCATGAATCACACTGTTGACGATATATTCAACTGCCAACAAACAGAAAATATAAAAATATTTTGCTGAAGATTTCTCAAGAAAGTTTTTCATAATCTATGATATTGTAACTTTACCTAGGAAATCAAATCAAATCGTTGCATTCAGTGTCTTGGATTGTGTGTGAGAAGTGTGCACTACATATCCATTTACAAGACATTTTGTCCTTCCATCAGATACATTTTAAAATAAAATACAAACACTCGGGTAGATATTTCAACCCAGTTTGGGAAAGCATAAGAATACAGTTTTGATGAACTTCGTCTGCGTGGTGATATAATATATTACTTGGTTGTTGACATCGTCTCCGTTGGGCTTTTGTGCCATGGCATCAATAAAATATAAAAACGTAAATAATATTTTAATAGGTAGGTACTAGCTACTAGCTGTAGGTATATTGTTACGAGGAGTTTAACAAAGATAAATTAATTCGATATGGACAATCTACCTGTTGTGGCTATTGTAAGCAGGACTAGGATTTATATGCAACAGCTACAATAGTTCTAACGAGAAAATGACGTCATGTGATGTCGAACGGAATATTAGTAAATATAGGAACATATTATAAGGGCTAACAAAAGATCATTTAGTTTTGAAAATTTAAAAACACCATATAATAATTTCGTATAATACATTTAGATAGCGTCAATAGTTAAGAATTACATTTCATTAATTATAAAATCTATTAATTTCTTTTTTCGGATTGATATTTCATATTTATAGGAGAATATAATATTTATGCATAGTTTTAGTAAATCAAATGCATATTTTACAATTTTGTATTGCATATATATCATAGCTTTGTTAATAAGTAGCTTTTTTTCGCACAGTAACCAATAATTGTGAGCAGAAATAAACGAATACTTGGTTCTTATTTTAATATTATTAACAGTGAGTAGGTATCCTAAATTAACCGGTTCAGTATAATAATATTGTAAAAACCTTCCTTGAATCGTCAATATCGATCGTGTTTTTTTTGATTCTGTGAGCCTCAGTAATACACATTGGCTTTTAAGTTTTAATTTGTATAATAATATAACTGTTGCCATTGAGTCTATTCTAATACTCTTATTGTAGCACCTTCCCCCTGCCCGTCCGATTTTCCAAGTAAAATGTGTTCAAAATTTGATGCCAATTTGTCAAAAATTATTGACTTGTATAAGCTTCATTCAAATATTAAAACCCGACAAATATTATTCATATAAGTATTATATAGGTTGACAACGAAGATAAATACTCCATAAGTTTCTAGAAATCTGTTGACATAACTTTTTTGGAAATCTGTCTAGTAGTTTCGGTATTTGGACCCCCCCCCTTCGTGCCTCTCTTTCTTAAGAATTTTAGAGGGTACTGGACGTTTCCGGCCTGGACTGAGACATTTCTCCCCTGAATGATTTTATATTTTCTACACATAAAAATAGGTTCTTTGGTTTTACCCAAAATATATGGTCGTCATATTGGTATCTACCGATTATCATCATTTATGTTATTGATTTATTACCTAATTTAATGAGTAATGATGGGTACACCAAAGTATTATGTGAAACTACAATTCGATTATACTTATATATCAATTTAATAATTTATACATTTATTGATTTGCATTGCATATTATTTTTTAATGATTTTACTTTTAATTTTTTGTCAAGGAGAAAATTCGTTTGGGGGTGGGAAGTCCAATGAATCAGAGAAGAGATTCGGTTGTAAACATCCTAGACCAGCGATTCTCAAACTGTGTTCCGCGGAGTCCTGGGTCTCCGCGAAAGTAATCTAGGGGCTCCATAGCTCCCATATATTATCTGTATTAATTAAATTATTATTATATTTCTTAGTTACATTTTTAATTTTTATACTTGTATTCATTATTATTTGGACCGTACCAATATGTATTATTTTAAAGTTTAAAATTGTATACTACTTATAAATCCACATATTTTTTTATAATCAACATCATTTTCTATGAACTATTGTTGTCTCAAATAGACATTTCTGAATTTTGGGGGCTCCGTAATTTTTTTTAGAAACATTAGGGCTCCGCGAATAAAAAAGTATGAGAACCGCTGTCCTAGACCAATAGTTTCTGAATCTAGATTCTAGATTCTATAGAGGACAAAAAAAGACAAACATACATGTGTATGCAAAGATTATCCTGATAATAGGTACCTTTACTATGTTATGTGATGACTGATGATTATTGAATAATAATATTATGCCAAATCATTCAGTTATAATAATATACTCGATGTAATTTTTCGAATATGAAAAATACTACTTATTATATTGTTAATATTAATTTATGCATAAAAAATTAGTTGTTACGCAGTAATCTTTTTAAACAAAACCGAGATCGACTATATTAATTAGATGTGTATATTTTTTAGTTGTGAACTCTGGTTAATGCTACGTAAGAAATAATTTACATACATAGTTGCGCGTTGGTAAGTATGTATTTCCAAAAAAATGTTTACTATTTGAACGTACATATTATATAACTATAAGAGAAAAGGAGAACATCGTTGTTGAGTGACAGTGTAAAAGACGTTATAACCATTATGAGTATGCTATACAGGCGATTCACCGCATCACAATTTTTATTTTTTTATTTTAATAACGAATTTATTCGAATTCTGATTTTTTGAATTTTTAAATATTAGCAGCTTAAAAATCCTTATGATTATTAGTACTACTTAAAGAGTGTCAGAGTGTGAAGATGCAGAATTTTGTTTTCAAAATGAGAACACCCCCTCCCCTCCTCGCCACATCTTCTTTAAGTGTAAATTAATTAGGGGATATTTTTTTGTAAAATGTTGATGCAAGTAGGTTTGTACCTACTTCAAAATTCAAAAGAGTACTTACTCAGCTATTGAATTGTTTATAATAAGAAAAATAATAATTATAGTCCCGAAAAATGGAGTTTACAAAAACATAACATTGATGTGAATTTAAATCCTGTGATTATTGTACTTGGACCGTTTTAATTAAAAACTAAATTAATCTACAACAGTAGGCCTTACAAATTAATTTGAGCTCTATGCCCAGCTAGTCCCGAGGTTGGCCCTATTGAAGGGTGCTGTGCTGGCTATACCTACTTAGTGCACAGTGTTAATTCTTATTATCGTGTGTTGGCAACAAACATAATATTAAACGTATACAATAAACAAACAAGTATGAAGTATATTTTGTGATTTCACATTATGATAAATAATATTATATTACACTGACTAATTAATATGTGTTTGTTATTCATTTTATTCCAATATAAGAAACTAACTGCATAATATATGTTATATTGTTATAATAACCGTTTGTTTATTATTAACTATTATTTCAATTTTGTTCAAAATAAATTTAAACATTATCCTGTTGGTTTTAGTTTTCACAAATAATGTTTATATTTTTCCAATTAATGTTGCCATTTGTCATTTGTAAAATTATTTCGAGATGATTTTTGACTTTCTTTAGTTTCTTTTTGTTCGTGAAATGTATGTTTTTTAAATTTTTAATTTAAAATCATTAATCCGTTTTAGATTCTTAGATGCATTCATCAATAATGAATTCTATATTATTAACAAAGGATTTAATTTCTCAGAGCAAAGATCTGAGATAGTTTTTATGTACAATGTTTCATCACTGTAAGTTAAGCCTTATGCCGCTATAGCAAATTAATTGAGTCCAAGTGATAGTAAGAAATTATTTTTAAATATTAAGTCTTGGCAAGTTAATTTTATGTATTTTATAAATATTAGTATTTAGACGCTTTAGAGTGTACCTATTTAGTAATACCTATTGAGTATATATTTTATTATGTATCGTAATAGTATATAATATTATAATATAAGTACTATATATCTTTAAATTTATTTGATAGACTAACTCTCAGGAGGTCACCTGTTATAATGGTAGATGACAATAAACCAGTGTCTAGAGGATTTCTGTGACTTAGTGATGGGAATGAAAAATGTTTGTGGCGCATCGACTTCGTATTATTCGTGTAGCGTATTATTATTATTTTATTTAATATTGTCGTCCACCCATGACTCACCTTTTCATCTCCACCCCCAACATATCGTGCCGACAAGATTGTCACTCATAAACACTCTGTTCTGGTAAAAAAAAATGTAAAAAGATTCGTATGAAGGAGTTTTGCCACATTTTGATAAGGTTGAAT